TGCACTATATCCGGCTACTACTCGCATTCCCCCCCCCCCACTCATACATATCCCCAGAAATGCGACGGTATCCGTCCGACATGTGGCCCTTGTGCCCGCGCCGACCGTGCAGACTGCGAATATACAGCGTCCGCCGCACCCAGCACCACGCGCTCTCTCGAGCGGAAGATTACCCATTTACGAGGGCGTCTCCGAGATCTAGAGCGCGGTCAGGGTGGCAGCGATTCCGCTGCCAAGCAACACGGTTCACATTCAGGCGAGGCCGCGTTTCAGACTGGAGAGGTTGCATCTCACTCTGGTACAAGTCGGGAGACGGCTGGACCGAGTGGCGTACAAGTTATGTCGAGCGGGTCGTTGGATTCGTCAGAGGGTAGTTTCGGGGGCATGCAGTTTGCGGGTCCTAGTAACACACCCGCTCCACGCGGTCTAGGCAAGGCCGCGTTGCTTTCGTCCGATTCGAATTGGCCGGGATACTCGCATCCGGGGCGCCCAAATATCGGTCCGCAGGCATCCGAACCGAGCACACCAGTTTCGGGCGTCTTCGACAGTCGAAGGTCCTCTATATCATCTGGTCGACAGCACTCTCCATCCCAGTTCTATCCTCCCGCTGGACACCATTCCCCACGTTCGGCGTATCAGCAAGACCAACCTTCAACTACGCCACAGGGCGCTCCCCATCACGCTTCAGTCTATTCGACCTGGCCGGCGTTCGGAGCACCTGCATCTGGGCCATCTGCTGCGTCCGTATCATTCGGCGTGCCGACGCTTACGCAAGATCCTATACACCAAACGCATCTGTATCCAGGAAGCCAATACGTTTTGTACGTTCATATTACCTCTGCGCTCGCCGCACACCTGATCCGCATTATGTCAGCCTGAACGCTTTTTTGCGTCCCGATGTATACCAGCCATTATGGTTCTTACACCGCGGTTCCTTCCTCTCGTCGACGGAACTCTCAGAAGGGGATCCAAGGCGCGCTCACCCTTCACTGGTCGCCGCCGTTTCCGCATATGGTGCAGTGGCCGCTGGCGCACGCGGCGCGGTCCCGGACTTCATTACCTCCGCCCTTGGCCGCCTCAATATTGATCTCGGCGTAGGGACGCCAGCATACGCTACCCTCGCGTTACAATGTATCCAAGCCAGAGTGTTGCTTGGCAACCTACTACTCTCCCGAGGCGAAGTCCTACAAGGCGCCGACGTACTCGCCGGTGCGTGCACGCTAGCGCGCACCCTTCTGCTTCACATACCCCCACACGAGCACATCGGGTACCTGGAAGGCATCGTCGAAGCTCCGTTGCCTCCTCCTGTCGATGCTGTCGCTGCGGCAGAGCGCGCTGGCGCTGCTTGGGTCGCTGCGACACTCGAGCGATTGTGGGCCATGGCGAGGGGACTACCTCCACGCGTCGCCCTTGCCGATGTTCGCGCACCGTGGCCACAGACGCCCGAAGTTGCGACTGCGCCTCCGGGACCTATGCCGCAGGTCCCGCCCTTCCACGAGTTCCTATACGCAGGCACCGTGCCAGCGCCAATCTGGAGCGGGGACAACGCGTTGGAGCTCATCGCGACCGCCTCAGCAGTCTTTGAAGCCGCGGGTCGTGTGTCGGCAGCACCGGTTCCTGGTTCGTACTGCCTAGTGCCCCTTCTAGCGCCAATCCTAATACGCTTGTAGACCCGCAGCAAGCGTATGCCATCGAGGGGCGTATTGAGGCGCTTCTGCTTGGACTCGGTGCTGTCCAGTCATCGGACCCTCGAACCCTGCCCGCACACGTATTAGTACACGGTGCGGCAATACAACTCCATGCGGAGGTTGCGGGAGACCCGCGCGCGATGCAGGCGGGACGGGCGCTCGCGGGAATCTCAACGCTGCTTCGGAATCCAGGAGTGGCGCCAGGATACCTCGAGCCAGCTATGGCAGTGAGTGTTACCGGTCCTTCTGAGGGTGCCATATAATACTAAGCGACTTCATTACAGATGATCCTTCCAGCGGCGTCCCGCGCGCTCCTGGCTGGCCGGGCTGTAGACCCTAGCGTCTCCGCTGACGTGGACGCTGCATTGGACGCCATTCAAGAGACGTTACAGACGTGGGCTCACCAGAGCGCATTCATCCGTGCGCGTTGTTTTCCTTGAGGGACGGCGCGTTCTGACGACATCGGGGGGGACAGAAGTTCAGCTTGAGCGGGTGACGCAGGAGCGTGCGGGCATGTTCTAGGCAAGGGGTGGAAGCGACTGCTAGCATTTTCACGAACATTGGATCCGGGATCCGAGGAACTGTACACAAACTATGTACTATAGACGACCGCACCGGCGGTATGTGCCATAGAGCAACCATGATGACGACAATGTTCACGAACGAGAGCACTACGTACTCACTTATACGGCTTATGTCAGGCCGTACGGGATTCTTCATGCAGTATCTGAGCCTCCATGACGATGACTGAGCTTCACAGGTGGGAGGAGGTGGCGAGGCGCAAAAAGCGCCCGACGAACTTGAACGCGTATCCAAATCGGGAACTCACGTGCCGTGCGCGTAAGCATGTTTTGACGCGCCCGTCAGCGCAGCGCGCAGGCTGACTTGCTTTCAGCTCACCACCATCGTCCGCGATATTCTTTGTCGTCGCCGGAGCTATATTACCATCGGTCTTCGGCACGAACATGGTGGTGTCTCTGACCGTGCGCAGTTTTATCGCTACCGCCTTACTACGAGGTCCAGCCAAGATACGGCTCCGGACGGCATTATCCATGAATGTTGGCTCTATTCTCCCAGGCTCAGCCCCACTGTATTGGCTTATGTTATACGACCTGAACTTCCTTTGTATCGCAAGAGGCATGAGTAGTGCTTGACTCGTCCGAGCCGCTTCGGGCGGGGATGTCGGTGTGCTTCAATGTCTGGTTCGGCTGGTTCGGTAACATATAAAGCGGTCGGTATGCTGAGGCCGTCAACGCCTGTATACTTCTTCGCAAGCAGCCCTTCTCAATGGCTGAGTTTGGGCAACATGATGTCTTCAATCTGAATACGGCGCCTGCATTACCAAAGGGGAAGGCGTGTGTGACGTGCAGGTCAGTCCTGTCTTGTCCTAGCTCTCCCACCTACAGTCATTCACATCGTTATTGCAGACTGAGAAAGATAGTACGTCGTGAAAGCGCGCTCTTAGGGTTGACACTGATTCATGCCAGAAATGTGATGGTGCAAGACCCGTGTGCACACAATGCAGGGAAGCACAACGCGCCGAAGATTGCGAATACGTCGCTGTTCGCGCTCCCAGCTCCACCCATGCTCTGGAGAAGCGAGTTGCTGCTTTACGAGCCCGCGTCAAAGATCTGCAAACCCAACATACATCGGGCTCGAGTAACCTTGCACCGCCTCATGCTTCCCCTCAGGCTTCGGTGCCACTTACCGGCGGTTCGGGGACATCTGGTGGTATGTTTCTTCCCCGATTACTGCCTACAGCTCTTATTCTTCTTCTCAGCTACATCTGAACCCATTACAAGTCCCTCTGTGGACTTGTCTCGCGAGGAAACGGAACTGCTGTACGTTCGCTAGACACTTCGTCATCTTCCCTTTGACTCGAATGATGCATGCAGTATTAGGCTGTTCTTTGCTCAGAATCAACCTCTCTGGTTCCTGGATTCGAACTTCTTCCGCTCTTCGCTCGGCTTAGAGAGTACAGGAGCGAGTGCCGCTTCGTCAACACTTCTTTTGGCCATGGGCGCGGCGACTGCGTCGCATCCACAAGCATCATCATTCAATGAACCCGCATTGACCGGCCTGGCTCTCTCGCGAATCGGCTCTACCCACAACGACTCCGCGCATCCGATGCACGCTATCCAAGCCCATGTTCTTCTCGGCGCGCATCTCCTGCGCGCTGGACGCTTCACTCAAGGCTTGAGTCTTCTCAGCGATGGTCTCTCCTTCGCGCTCGCTCTCGGCTTGCATCGACCGGAACCCGATTCGCTCTTGACCACCTTTAGACCTCCGCGACCCATCCTTCCAACCCCGAACCCTATCTCAGCAGGCGAGCACGTCCGCGGCTTCTGGACGATCTTCGTTCTGGAGCGCTTGTGGGCGATGGCACTGGGAACTGTGACTAGAGCGCGCCTCACAGCCGATGGTGGTCGAGACGGTGGCATGATCGTCAATACGCTTTGGCCAGAAGATGCGACGGCACACGTGAGTTTTCGGTAGCTGATCATCCGTGGCGTACGATTCTCACGCGCGCATTATAGCAGAACGCCCGAGATACGCTCAGTTTCTTGCGCCAATCGGGCCCAATCGCGGCAGACGGAAACTCGGCGCTCACGTTATCGGTCAAGGCTACGCTTCTTTTGGAACGATCGTATGAGGTAGCTTCGCAGATGGCAGAAGGTATGGCATCTTGTTCATCTGCGACTGTCGATCTCATGCCGATCCCAGCTGAAAATGACGTTGTAGACAGCCCGGATGCGCATGCTCTTGACGAGCGTATCAATTCCTTCGCTACCGCCCTCGGACCACCACTATTTGCTTCGCGAGATAACCTTCTCGCGCATATACTCTTGCGAGGTGCGACTTTGCAACTCCACTCTCGAATACCGGGCGACCCTCGCGCGATGAGCGCCGCTCGTGCATTAGCAGCCATGGCACCCGTCCTACGTCCGGATCAGAATGATGCGCTCGGAATGTTAGAGCCTGCTATAGGCGTGAGCGACATCCACCCCTCTCTACGAATGTTTCATCCTGACGAGCGACACCAGATCGTGATACCTGCAGCATGCCGAGCTCTGATCGCCGCGATGCTGGCTGACACATCCGGGACTCCTACAGACGTAGACCCTGCACAGGTCCCCATGGCCGCGCTCGAGGCACTACAAGGCATATTGGGAGCTTGGCAAGCGTACAGTGCCTACATAGGTAAGCTTGTGTCAGTCATAATCGCCATCCAGACTCTCATGCGGCCATGTACAGGTATACAACTCAATCGCGTTCTTCAGGAACGGATCGACTCTTGAGCGCGAGCATAGCTATGCATGCACAGTTCTGCGGGGATAGAAGATGGTCCTCGCTCACATAGACCTCTGCGTCACGACTTAGCGTACTATCATCTTAGGTGATAGATATGATACTCGACTGACGGACATAGTGTTATGGCTTCAGTTGTTCATGCACGTGTATATGCAGTTTTCATTGATCCGAGCTCTGGAAAGGGTACATGGAACTTCTCAATGAGTCTTATGCTAGCCTTTGCTGTGCTTCCTGCTACGAAGTAGTGAGCCTTGACCTCAAGAATTGCCGCAACCCCGCGATGATCATCGAGGTTAGGGTTGACGGATTTTGACGCGCCCGTGGCGTGCGACGTCGATGCGTTTGGCTCTTGCCTCCATCAGTCGACCTGACATCTTCGAATCATAAGTTTCCTGGATCTCCAGCCAACGACACCCGCTGTGTTCTTTGCTGCGTATATTAGGCTCCGCGATGCCATTTATGATCCCGAACAGCGCGGGTTATCGCGTGGCTCCGTGTTCTTCGGCTCAGACATAGTAACCTCGCGCCAGTTACACCGCCAGAGATCATCCCCGTACAGGATTTGTGCTGCATGCGAGACTACTAGTCGGAGCGGCCCCTCACTCCGGCGCCTGCGATGCACATGACAGTCCATGACCTTCCGAATGCAACAACGCCAGTCTGTCTGCGAGGAGCCTGATGGCTTCCCGCTGAGTGAGTGGCGGTGCGGCTGAAGCGCCGTGCTCGCATACAAATGGCCCCGCAACTACGTCTGAGCTCTCGCACACTGATCTCTACATAGACCGACGCGATATCATGGAACCAACCGACCACACCCTGCTATTCAGCGCCGACAACGCGTACAACACCACCCTCCACTCCCCATCATCACCCGACCAACCTCTCTACAGCATCACCTCCAACCCCGGCATCGACTCTGGCTCTACTGCCTTTACCGCTGTCACAAAAGGGGAAAGTGGGGAGGAGCTGGCGCGGTGGATCTGGCGCGCGCGATGGAGAGGGGATTTGCTCACGTATGCGGGTGGAAAGGCGGTCAAGGCTACGAGCTGGATTGCTGAGAGGGGGTGGAGATGGAAGGTAGCTGAGGAGAGTGGGGAAGTCGAGGTGAGCATGGTACTATATGTGACATGCTTTGCGGTACTCAACGTACTACAGCTCTTCGCCGGCAAGGACACCACACCTCTCGCGCGCTTCGTGAGCTCAGCGCCTGCGACGTCCGAACCGGCCAGACTGCACCTACTGGGGGAGGCGGCGGATGATCAGGAGATACAAGACGCCATCGTCGTGTCGTTCTTCCTCCAAGAGCGATTCCGACGCGAGAAGCAGTGGGCCGGACAAGCTGGCAAGGTCGACGGCGGGAGGACCGGGGCGCTCGCTTCGTTCAGTATGGCTGGTCCCATGGGCGGGATGTAATGTCGAGCGAATGCTCGCAGTATGTTATCAGGTTGAAAGGACTGCAATTGAATTCTATTGGCATCGTCCACATTTCATAGCTCTGGGCGCCTAAATCGGCTCCATATATCAAAACATGGGCGTAATCCCACGCCCCTAACTCTGAGAAGCTTGCCTCGCCCTGACCGTACATCGCGTGGCAGGGTCATATAAAGGCGAGCAGCTCAAAGGCGACGCGTCTTTGCTTCCCACTACCGGCACTTGCTTCCCACACCGTAGTTTGCTTTCCGAGATGTCGTCCCGCGCGACGCTCTCCATGTGCGCGGATGGAGCCGGGCCGTCAACCTCTTCCTCAGTCCCCGCCACCGGCTCTGTCCCTTCGGACGCCACATCTAGCTCTAGCTCTGGCTCTGGCTCTGATCTCATCCACGACGAGAAGTTCTACATGCAGACCGTCATCTTCCTCGTACGCGTCCTCCTTGCCGATAACACCACCATCCGCTGTGGCACTCACGGTTCACTCGCAGGCAGGCCGAACGCTCTTCAAACCGCCCGTATACGCACTCCCAAAAGAAGACGGCATATTCTCGTCGATGTTTGCGCTGCCCAATAGCACCGGCGAAGGGTCCGCCGACGACAACCCCATCCGTCTCCCGCCCGATATCGCGGCGGAGGACTTCCGCTGCTTTCTCGAGGCGTGCATACCAAAGTGAGTTACGAAATTGGAACACATGATTTGTTGTGGTCTTGCTTATCCGGTGGCACCAGGCCGGACTGGGAGAAGCCGTCCAAGATGAGCGTCGAGGCGTGGATGCGCGTCCTCAAACTAGCCACGATGTGGAACCTCGAAAGTCTACGCGCCAAGGCTATCACCTCAGCCTCCAACGAGCTTACCGCGAGCGGCGAGAGCAGTATCATCGACAAAATCGTCCTGGGCAAGCAATACAGCGTCTCGCGCTGGCTCCTCGAAGGCTACGAAGCCCTCGCCAAACGCGACGCACGCCTCACACCCGGCGAGCGCGATCAGCTAGGCCCGGAGAGCGCATCGAGGGTGTGGGATCTGCGCGAAGAGTCCTTCGCGTGGTTCCGCAAGCAGGTCAAAGCTTGGCCCTCGCGCGCGAAGGACCCGTACGACGATGCGTGGAATGGGATCCCGACGTGGGAGACGCATGCGTTCGACTTTCGGGGGGCGGTTAGAAGGATATTCGAGGATGAGCTTGGGGGTTGTCCTGATTATGATGCCTCGAGTGCTGCTGGTGATGGTTGGGAGTATGCTGCGTGGCCCGGGCGTGTGGGGGGTAGGAAGAGGGCTAGAGTTGATGGAGATGTGACTGGGGCCGGTTGGGGTGCACCGGCGCACGGTGGCTGGGCTACGCCAGGGCAGGGTGAGCACGGTGGTTGGTAGTAGTATGAAATCGTGAAATGCACTGTTGATCAGTGTTGATCTGAACACTGGACGCGAGTGATGAGTGTTTGAGTTGAGGGAGTTGACGAGTGAGGTGACTGATATTTCTCTCTTCTATCTTCAACCCATCGGGGTTAGATCTGCATCAGTTATCGCCGCGAACGATCCCTCGTGCTTACCGCGTGCGCGCCTCATATGTCGGTATATAAGGCTTCAAGAGCGTCAAGTTCGAAGTGCTTCGGCGGTCAGGATGGCTTCTGAGTCCGCGTCTGATCACCCGGGTTCCCGCGATATGCCTTCGGACTCAGGGAACATGGGCACTACTCTCGAAGATGGAGAACTGGACTTCGTTCGAGACGAGGACTTCTACTTCAATAGCATCGTCTTCCGTGTATGCCCCACAGTTTACTGGGGACAATGCTCGATACTGACGGCCGATTAGGCAGGCAAGACGCACTTCAAGGTTCCTGCGTATGCACTGCCTACTGAGGACGGTGTCTTCTCGGCGATGTTCGAGTTCCCCAATAAGAACGGAGAGGGTTCAAGCGATCGGAATCCCATACGTCTTCCTGAAGAAGTGACGGCTATGGACTTCCGTAGCTTTCTCAAAGCGTGCATCCCGATGCGAGTTCTCACAAGAAGCACAGTCATCGACTTACATTGACGCTCGTAATAGGCCTGACAACGTCGAACCACCCAAACTGACAGTCCACGAGTGGATGAGCGTGCTCAAGCTCTCCAAGATGTGGTGCCTCGAGGATCTCAGCGAGCAAGCAAACGAAGGTGCCGATGATGAGGTCTCTGCAATAGCCGATGCAGCCGCGGACGGCATCCTCCAAAAAATTCTCCTCGGCAAGCAATACTCCATATCTCGTTGGTTACTCGAGGAATACGAGAGCCTCGGAAAGCGCGATACATACCTCTCCGCATCTGAGCGTACTGTGCTGGGCGTGGAGACGTCTTTCCGGATATCGGAGCTGCGCGAGAAGAGCTGGACTTGGGCTCATCCTCGGCGACAAACCGTAGCTGTGACTGGCGTATTCTATGCACCTGTGTCTAGCGGGGAGTCGTACAAGGATAGGGACGGGTTCGACTATGCGTCTGCTATCAAGACCATCTTTGATAGCGAACTCCGCATGGATCCCAGCTATGGCTGTCCGTGTCAGTCCCCAGTAATCACATCGCCGAAACAGACGTGAGTGTTGAACATCTTTGTAGTCGAAGCTGTTGGGTAGGGTGCTTATGTACCCGCGATGCGCAGAGTAGCAAAGAAGACTGCTCTGAAGAAGAAAAAGAAGAAGAAATAGTAGCGAGGGCGCTATCATGTACTTCTCGTGGTGGATGAATCGAAGAAGAAACGCGTCCGAGTCTCTTGAGGGCTTTGCGGATATATCTTGGAGGGTTGGAGGCATCATGAGGTCCTCAGTTCGTCTGAGGACTCCTCACATGAACACGTATGATGCCTGTCAGTGTCACTCCAGAGTTCATACGCGCAAGAAGCGCTTCATGATCAGCGCCACAGCACTTCGCCGATCCCCTTCCGTCCGGAGTGTTCGGCGCAGTGTATGAACAAGCGCGCGCGGCGGCGCAGCAGCGATGCCAACGACGCGTTCCGCCGGCACGCGTGATTTGGACCGCCACACCAACATATATAGTCCATCTTGCTCGCTTGTACTCCGTAGCTATCTCTACTACAACACATACAACAATGTCCGAGCAGAACGGGGTGCAAGATATCGTCGTCGTCGGTGGTGGTGGTGCGGGTTCGATCCTCGTGCGCCAGCTGCTTCCCAAGTTGACCGCCAACCACCGCCTCACGCTCGTCAATGCGCGTCCTTTCCATCTGTTCTTGCCCACGACGGTGCGTTATTCTCCGTTTATATTGCGAGGTGTACGCTGATGGAGAGATAGGTGCGCATGGCCGTGACGGACCATGGAAACCTTGAAGACCGTGTGCTCCTGCCATTCGACAACCTCCTCGGCGACAAAGGCAAGCTCGTAGTCGACACCGTCACATCCATCGAACCATCCTCGGCACCCTCCGGCTCTACAAAAGCCCCAGGAGGCCACGTCGTGCTCAAGAGCGGCGAGCGCCTACACTACGACGTCCTCGTGCTCGCGCCCGGCACCAAACTCGCAAGCCCGCTCGACTACCCCGACACGGAGGAGGACGTCCGCGCGTACACCAACGAATGGCGCAATAAGATCAAGGAGGCGCAGCATATTGTATTTTCCGGGGGAGGACCGGTTAGCGTCGAGCTCGCGGGCGAGATCAAGGAGTATTTCCCGGTGCGTTTGCGCGGCCATCATTTTCTGGGGAATAATACGCGGTCAGCTGACATTTATTTCTTCCGCGCGCTTTATAGGAGAAGAGCACGACGATCGTCCAGTCTCGCGATCTTCCGTTCACCAACGCGTACCCCGACAGCTTTCGCGCGCGCATCTTGTCGGAGGCGCGTGAGGCTGGTATTGAGTTCGTGTTGGAGGACTATCTTGATGAGGCGGAGCCGCGTGATGGACATGTAACGACGCGGAAAGGTCAACAGCTACGCGCTGATCTCATTGTATGTATCTATCCGTGTCAACAAGGCGATCTCTCATGCTCCATGTTAGATCACTGCGCACGGAGGTACACCCAACACGCAGTTCGCTGCAAGCTTGGGCGAGAGTGCGCTAGACAAGTACGGACAGATTCGGGTTCGAGACACGTTGGAGCTTATCGACTATCCTGGTACGCCTTCTCATGTGCAAGTTTAAGCTTGTGCTGAACCGCTGCTGCGGCATAGGTATTTTCTGCGCTGGCGATGCTGTATCGAACGCGGAGCGCAACCGCCTGGGCAAGTACCCACGTCACGCACGCGCGGTGGTACCAAATCTGCTAGCTCGCCTTGCAGGCTCTAAACCAAGCAGCACCTACAGCGGAAGCATAGAGACTTTGCGTGTGAGCATCGGAAGCGTAAGTCGTCTATATCATATCGGTTTGCGTGTAATACACTGATTCGCGACTCATAGGACCGAGGCGTTATGACCTTCGGCGCACCATGGTTCTGGCCGTGGGGTATCGTCCTCGGGAGCTGGATGACCGTCAAAGCACAGAGCCGCGATCTCATCTTGCCGAAGGGACATCGTCTCATGGGTCTCGGCCATGGATGGTCCAGGACCAAGAAAGAGGAGTAGAGTAGCGGCGCGGTCATGCTATTGCTGGGACGGTAGCCTCGCTTCCTAGTCGCCTTGCGCTTCCTTCCTATACTCGGCCTTCTTCTACGCCCTGGATTCACCGGACCCTTATACCCTCGTTGCGGATGTACATATAGTACATACTCCTTCTGACACTCGGTACTGCGATAGTAGGCTCTTTTTCAGCCTTTGTACCTACTCGTAAGCTTACGCGATGACCATTCATAAGTACTATTCGTGACCCGCGCGTTTGATGAGAGCTATTGAAGGCAAGAGATATAGCTGAGATAACAACCGGTGTCAAAATGGATGGATGCCGGCAGGGAAGGCACGTCATGCAAAGGCGCCCCTCAGCTAGTGCAAGATTCGCGTCTGTCTCCAGACTTGGTCCTCAATATCGAGTAGGGTATTTAAGGTTATAGATGATAGATTTACACTCGAACATCATGCTCCTACAAGGACCGCATCTGAGCGCTTGAGCATTAGTGCGAGGGAGAAAGTCATCTGACCGCGTTTCTCCAAAACCTTCAACGGCCGACAACTTTCCGCGCGCTGCGGCCATCCCTGTGCTTCCTCTTGACCACGACCTGCTTCACCTTGACTGCGAATGCTATGCTCAGCCTTCTTCAAGACATGGACACACTACCTCCAGCACTGGCGTACTCCTGACGATGAGTCCCCGCGCCAATTTACGTAGTACCCGCCTATTGCACCTGCTTGGGCTGGCGCCGCCCTACGTGGCTATGACTGGAGATGCGGATGTATAGGAGCGGGATATGGTTTGTGAACGGTACGCTCACCCTATATCGTGTCCAAGCATCGATACTGACGTCTTCTATCTGTAGAGATGTCTGCCTGATTCGACAATATTCCTGCACCCGCTTCGGTACCTTCGGCTCTCATGGTATACCGCCCATGCTCAGGCATAGAATCGACCGATATGCTCTGCTGAAGTTGTGGGGTGGTCACCGTGCTAGTGCATGTCCCCCAAAATGAAAATACATAGCAGACGCTAGTGTGTGGGCACGGTAGGTATACGGGAGCGAAATGCGATTGTCAAAGGAGCAGGGTGACGGTGACGGCCTCGGCGACGATATGGAGAGTCCATGTCGTAAAGGGATACCATATACTGTATAGTAGAGTCCAATGGGGTAATCAACGAGACCAATTAAACACCGAAATGCACGAATGGAGCCCATTGCATGAAGTTCTGTTCGCCCACCCGCTCCCTCAAAACCTTGACAGCATCATGCAGCGCATACGCTGCTCCCGTATATCCCGGAGCGATATCACCATCTCTTCCGGAATGCCTCAACTTGTGAAGTCGTCCATAATACGCCTCCACGATGATCGGCGCATCTGCGTCCCAGATAGACCACATCGTCCCGACGACGCCCTTGAAGCCTACTGCTAGCATTCCCGCCGCAAGGTGGGCAGACTCCTCCGGGATCTTCTCGTCGCCGACGGCGGTCTGGCATGCAGAGAGGAACGCGAGCTCCGCGTTCTCTGCAACCGTGCCCATCAGCGCGGCCAACGTCAGCTGGCCGTCATACAGCACGAATGCACTCTGCGTTGGGTTATCCGCGCTCTGCTTCCCATGACATGCGAGATGGACCCAATGATGATGTCCGATACCATGAAGAGCGTTTGCTACGGTCCCCTGCTCGTGCACCAGGGAGTCGAAGGTGTACGCTCGTTCCGACATGGCGGCGCGTAGTCGGTCACACTCGTCCTTTGTGTGAGGCAAAGATGCGTATTTGGGGGTATTCGGCTGTGCGAGGATCAACACGTTCGGGTGGGACTGCTTATGTGTTCCTGGTTGTCTGTGGCAGCGCAAGAGTGCAGAAAGGGACGGGGTATAAGATGAAACCACAAAATCGTATGTGTGTGAAGGGCTTTGCGGGTGGCCGTAGATGCCCGCGGCGTGGAGAGGCAATTGCGTCAATGGTCCTGTCGCACACCAGGTGATATGCGGAAGCTTGTCTTCAGCGGCAGGAGCATCAATCAGCTGTGAAAGATTCAATGAAAGTCACACAGTGGAGCACCGAACGAGAAGACGCACGAAATGCAGTGCTTCGAGAATGGGCCTCGCAATGCACGTCCATAGTTGTTCAAGGACCGTGCCCAACATATTCATACGACCCTTTACGAGCCTACCAGCCGGTATAATGCCACGCACGCGCAGACCGGATGACCGCAAAAAGTCAGTCCAAGTACAGCGTAATCCCTGCGCCTGGCTCTCGCTAAGCTGGGGCAATGGTATATGCTCAGTCCCACCATTCGGGAAGAGTACGAGTGCGTCACATGAAAGCGAGTCCACGTTGATGAAGACGACGGGACCGTCGAGGTGTTCAATGGATGTAAGAAGACTATTGATCTTCGCGGGACGCAGGAAATCTGCAAAACCCTCTTGGCGGCGAATCGCTCGCAAAACATCGTCATAGTCGATGGCCAATTGTCTGCGACGGTCTACCAAAGAAAGTGGGGCTCCTTCCTCAGCAGCTGTAGTCATACCGTGAACAGTATCGACAACTACTTGGTCACGACGTCCGCTACCAGGACGAAAGTGTTCTGCTGTGGGCTGAGATAAACTATCCAAATGCTGAAGCGCCGATGAGATCTGCCGCAGATGCAAGGCCATTCCTGGGTGTACCTTTTCCAAATCGCCCAAGGGCTGGCGCAAAGTGAACATCTGCGACCAGACAAGAGATCTTCCGGCTTCCATCCACTCAATAGCCTGATATCTAGAGTGCAACTTGATGAACGCAGCGATTGCTGAATT